ATTGTAACTTTATTATTTGAAATTTGAAATATTTATTTAAAGTTCTAATGCTTTTCCTTCAAGTGTTAGAACTTTAAATAAGTATTTAAACTTCTTAATTATTTTAATGTTATTGTAATTAATTTCGGAGTTTAAAATTGTTTTTATTATTAATATATGTTTTATATAGGAGAAAGTGTAGATTGTGCCAAAAGTGATAATTTAACAATATCTCAAGAGACAAAAGAACAAGATGATGAGATAATTATTGTGGAGGATACTGATTCAAGTATTTTAGCACATCTTCATTCAGCTAGTGCCACACCATCAGTAAGTAAAATTAATTTAAATTGTCGCATATTTTTAATATTAGCAAGTTTAAAATTTATTACATTAGTAAGAGCCCATAAATATAAATAAGCCTAAAATTTGTTTAAAAAGAGTAAGTACAGTACCTTTATTCAAAAACGTTGGACTTATCTTCATATATTAAGTGCATAATAATAAAATAGAACTTTTTATTTATTTATTTATTGAGATTTTTATCTTCAATTTTAATTAATAAAATATTAATGTCTTTTATTAATTAATCTTTTATCTCTATTGTATTTTTCTTATAATTATTGATTCCATCATACAAAGTACATAAATGATTTAAGTACTTTGAAGGATTGCTATACTACTTAGTCAAATGTATTTTATTAATTAAAATTTTTTTTAGACACTTTGCATATCATCAAAAAGAACACTTAAGACAGTTTCAAATATAAAACAAATGAATACATTTTAATAACTTGTAATAGATTCAAACGTAGAGCTCATTTAATGTTCAAAACTTTGTTTAAAATAAAATATGTTTTAAATCTTTAAAAAAATTAATAAAACATTAACTAAATAACAAATTACAATTATCAATTTCTTTTTAACATAAATTATTATGGATTTATGTTCAAATTATGTGTCTGTGAATCCCATGCTTTTTATAGTGATCAATGATCACTATCAAGAGCCACACCAATGGTTGCAACTCAGTCCATTAGTGTTTATTATTTAAAACTGAGATAGTTCAGATTTTGGATATAACATGGAAGCATAGGATTTCTAGTCTTTTGGATAATTTAGGTCAAAAAATTCTAACCAAATTAAGAAAACAATAGCCAAATTTCCTTAAGTCATAAATCCATCTGGTCATTCTGTATTATGTATAGGAGAAAGCATACTATCTGAAGTATATTGATTCTAAAACAGGTTTCAAGGAGTCCAACCATAGGTGTTGATCTGTAAGGGACATGCCCCTTCAATATTTTTGCACTGGCAAATTGTCCTCTTTTCAATGTATTTTTTTATACCATACTACAAAAATCCACTATATAAAAGTGAAAAATTGGGTGTATTGCAGTATGCCAAAAACGGCCACTAGGTGTGCCCATAGCTATTATTTAAATTAACAATAAATTCAGTACAGTCGACCCCCCCCTATAACATGCGTTCCTATAACGGAAATTCCTGTAATGTAGTGAAAAAATTGTAGCAACATTTGTATAAAGAAGCTCCTAAAACGTCGTCGCCGACTCGTTTCGCGACAAGATTGATAGAATCTGGACCAATAGTGGATGAGCAGCCGAACTACTTTCTTCCACCCTGCGCCACGCTACGGAGCGGCTAAATTGAGTTTGCTATTGTCTGTACACTATTATGTATAAATTAGGTACTGTACATATAATTATATATTAATTATATATAAATTAGGTACTGTATATATAATTATATATTAACTTAATTTATTGTAACTTTATTATAATTATATATATGCTTTCTGCCGCCTGGCAACACGCTACGGAGATTTTAGGCTAGTAAGTTGAGTTTATTATCGTCTGCACAGTATGTAAATTAGGTACCGTAAGTCTAATACAGCACTAATTTTATACATTTCTTGTGAAAGAAACACTTCTTATTCAACGGCCATAAAAATTATTTATATTAATGATGTCTCCAAAGGTCAAGTTATTTTTCTGCGAAAAATTCGTTATCAGAAATCGCGGCCGTCATTTCATGTGCTGTTCCGCGAAGAAAACCAGCTTTAAGCAACGGCGTAGTCGAACGGTACACACTCGGTAAGTAATCCTATAATTTTTTGTTTATAGCATAGTTTATACAGATTATTCCCAAAAAATTATACGTGTTTTGGAAATGTTGAGTGGAATTAGTCTAGAATCGGTTAATTTTATAGAAGAAAACCTCAGACAGCCTTAGTCCGTAAACTTCACAACTATCGGGCTGCAATTGGCTCATGTATTTAATCATTCCTATGACGTAAAATTCGATTAACGTGGAACGTATCTAAGCGTTATAGGGGGATCTACTGTATATTATTATTTGATGCAGTTTTTTGCATTTTTGACTGCATTTTGCCATGAGAAATTCAGTATATTATTATTTTTATTTGTAATAGGAATTTATTATTTATACCATGGAATGACACTGCTGTTGCTAGAATGCCCATTAGGAGGCATCCTAGGCTACTAGAATAGAAGGATTAGAAGTACAAAATAATCTAATAATCTTTGTTGTTGTTTTTTGCCCAAGCAAAGCCGGGGTCATCTGCTGGTTAGAAATAGAAATGAGTACTGTACAGAACAGATGCTTTATTTTTTATATCCACTAAAATTCTACAATGAGAAATTTTTCTTATTCATTGTTAAAAGTCTAAAACAAAATCATAAAACAACTTACTCATAAACATCAAGTTTGATTTTAAACTTTTCAAGAAATTTCAAAAAATAGAAATGTCAAATAACACTTCTATATGGGAGCAGTAGTTGTATGCCTATGTCTTGCCTATGTGTTGTTATTTTATAGTTTATCACTTTTTGAAAATGTTAATTTTCAAACAGGAAGCATTGGCACTTATAGCCTGCCCCACTAGTGTGTGCCATCACTGCTGATAAGTTTTAATTGGCATACATATCTGTGCTGAATGTTGAGTATTAAGCATGGTAAGTATAATATTATTTTGTTATCAAATTAGGTTTATGGCAAAATAAGAGTGCTAGTAAGTTAGAATACTGGATGCATAGTTCTTGAGAAATAGATGATTGTGTTTTGGTGATTTGACTAGTGGCAGGTTAATCCCTACAGATTAAATATGGATAGCTTTAGTTTTATTCATCAATTGCAGAAAGTTGTGATGAAGGTATGAGATATAAAAGTTTCAAAAGCTTGTAGTTTTTCATCTAATTTTTTTTGGAGCATGATAAGTGTGACCGTAGAGTTGGTACCTCTTTGATGCCTCATCAGGACTGACACTGTGGACAACATGCTTTGGAACATGAAAGTCACAATGGAGAATTTGTTTGTTTTTGAAAGTAGGTCACACGAGTGACAGCATGTGTAAGCGATCAGGTTCCGGATGGAGGATGGTGAGACAGTGCGATGGAAGTAGTGCACTCAGACTCTAGGGTTAATAACAAATAACCATTTAATAGCCAAAAAAGATTACATGATACATATATGGTAATATCAGATTAACTGACCTATCTAATAGAGGTGGTTGCAAGAGAGAGAGTTCACAATTGTTCTCAACTCGATTAATATTTGGAGTCTATGGTGTCCACAAGGTAATGCTCCTTAATTAGAATTTCATTGTGACTATGGTAACTAGGGCCTTGAGGTTGTCTTGTTCAGGAAACTTCTGGATCAGGATCATTCAGGAAAGTTTGTCTTTGAAGGCACAGTTGACTGAGGGTAAAGTGAAATACCCCATTGAGTAGGATTGGGCACTGACATGACTAAAAAGTAGAAATTGGTGATGACTTTTACTCCTTGAGGAATAGATGAAGATTTGTTGAGTTGAGGAGGAATGGCGACAGCTGCCTCATTGAGCTGTCAGTTTCAATATTAAAATGGTAGCACATGGCTGGGGAGTCAAAGGGTCATGGGAAAGTGTCGCTTTCACTATCAAGAACTTGCAAACTGAGAAGTTATCAGGAAGTAGATGAAAACAGTTATCTAGATAGATATGATGAAATTGTGTGTTTTTTTTCATAGAATTCCGGATTCTCTAAGCATGTGCAAAAAGAATATAACATCACAAAAGGAAGTAAGGCAACACAAAGTATGAGGTTTATCAAAGTAATAGGAATGGACACTGAGAAGCTTTTAGGCCACAGATTGAAGGAAACAATATTAATACGATTACAATTAGAGAGTCTGTATGTGACGGGATCAAGAGTCAGATTGAGCCAATACTGGAGGATTAAATGAGCACACACTGCCAATTGGTAATACAGTGAAAGAACATTTAGAAAATTTAAAAAGAAAAGTCAACTATAGGTCTGCAGAAGAACTGACTATGAACAAAAAACAAAAGCTAGATGGGAAGAAGCAAGAATAATCATGTCTGGCTTTAAAAATAGTGCTTTTAAGGACTACAGTATCATTTTACTGTACTGTAGTCCTTAAAGCACCACCAGCACTACCCTCCCAATTTTAAATGAGAAGCACTAAGGGTTTGAGTTGGATCCATGAATGTGGCTCTTGATGATGGTCAGTCACCATAAAAAACAGGAGTTCAATGAACACATAATTTGAACATTAATCCATAGGAATTTGTTAAATGCTAATCATAACTGTGTTTGTTCAACATTGTTATTTAGTTAATGTTTTATTAATGTTTTTAAAGATTTAGAACATATTTTATTTTTAAACAAAGTTTTTAAAAGTTAAATGAGCTCTATGTTTGAATCTATTACAAGTTATTAAAATGTATTCATTTGTTCTATGTTTGAAACTGTCTTGTTCTCTTTGATGATGAGATATGAAGTGTCTCAAAATGTTTAGTTGAAAATAAAATATGTTTAACTCCTTGAGTTGTACATACAGCAATCCTTCAAAGAAATAAGCAACTGCAAAAATTAGTTACATGCCCATAGAAACCACTACTTCATAAAGAATTATTACTTAAATAAAAAGAAATTTAATCTGAATGAAAAGTATTATAAAAATCAACCTATTTATTATTTTTTAATTTTATTATAACTAGTTACATATATATAGAAGATAAAGTAATAAAAGTGACATTAAAAAATACTAAGCAGAATATACAATAAATAGACATTCACTCAAAACAATCTAAGTAGAACAATTATATTTGTTCACAAAATAAAATTTTGTTAACTCTTATTAATTCAGAGTAAAATATACAAAAATAAGTTTCTGTAGGTGAGTCTTACCTGTCCATTTTATCTGTTCCAATATTCTTATATTTCTAAATAATATACAGCAATTGAAGAAATTTTCTGACAACAACTCTCTATATCTTGACAATATCA